TGGCTTGAAATACCCCTTCAACGTCCAAATGGTAAAATATATCCTAGGGGCACCTGGGTGGCTCAGTCAGTTAAGCATCTGCCTTCCGCTCAGGTCATGATCCCAGGGTCCTGAGATCGAGTCCCACATCGGGCTCCTTGCTTACAGGGAGCCTGCTTCTCCCTCTCCTGCTCCCCAACTTGTGTTGAATCTCTCTCCCTCTTTCTTTCAAATGAAGTCTTTAAAAATAAATAAGTAAATAAATAAAATAAATCCTAAGTGGTATCTAAAGTCAGCATCTCTCCAAAAAAGAGGACCTGAATACCTATGACCATTTCACCACTAAGTGATCACATGTGCATTTCCGGCCTTCCAGTTATCAATGGAACTAAACAACACTGAGCACCATCTCTTGAAATGCGATTACCTATTGTGCAAATAAGAGGTCCCCCCTTAACACTAACTTAGGTCCCTGAAAACGGTAGGATATTAGCGATAGCTCAATATCCAGAAACTAGACACAAACCCATCTTTGGCAATAGCCAAGTTTTGGTAGGAATATAGCACAAGCCTGTCCCGATACCAGAACCCCTGGGGCTCCTGGGCCCCAAGCTCAGGGTCCCCTTGCATGACAAAACACCCTGGAGGGATATAACCATGGGGAGATAAGGAGAGTTGGGGACTTCCCAGAGTCTCTTAAAGCCTGCTTTGATGGCCTTGCTGAGTTTACACAAAAATAACAGCACTATTGCATTAACTTACCCACTGGAACTTCCTGTTAGCCATCTGGCCAAATACTATTTAATCTTTTCTCCTCTGCCTTTGGTGATATTGCCTTACTTCTGGATCCTTATCTCTGACAACTATTTCAAAGTTTCCTTCACCCCTCCCTTAAATGCTTTCCTGCAGGGCTCTCTCCTGCATGATCGTCATGGGTGATCTCCTGCGTTTCAAGGCCTTGTTTCTCCGCTGATGAAATGAAGAATTCTGGGCTGCCATGTGTGGTTGTATAGGTTGGTCACTGCACAATGGTGCCAGGCCAAGGGGGCAAATAGGGGTGAAATCCATTCTGCTCTCTGTGTGCCAAGCCAGGCACCCACAGGACTCCCTAGATTCTCATCTCTAGCTCAGGTGTCCCCTTAGTCATAGACATCTGGTCCAAGCAAGGCTGGCCACCTCTCCCTGAATATCCTCCAAGGAACCACACATGGAACATGGATCCATCTCGCTGCCTCCAAACTCTTCCTCCCTCGCATCCCTGGCTCTCAGCGCGGGGCTCCATCACAAAAAGCAGAAAGCTCAGGAGAACCTGAGCATTCTCCTTCCCTGACCCGCCGTCTCCTGTCTGACAGACTCCATCCCCTCCTCCCCAGCCACAGCTGTGCATGAGGAGCTGACCTCATTACTTCTCTTCTCATTTCATCTGCCCGGCCCATGCCTACCAGTCCCTAAATCCTTCACTCTGCTGCAAAAGCAATCTTGCCACAGTATTTTGCTCATGTCAGGCCACTACTTTGATTCCTTTCAGAGCTTTCCACTGCCAGAGGACAAAGTCCCGACTCCTTAGAGTGCCTCGTGGGGTCACCCGTGGGTCAGATCTCTAACTCCCTCTCACCGTTTTGCTCCTTGCTCACACCGAACATGTCACTGTTCCCTTGCTGTCTGGCCTTTGCTGCACAGGAACCTCTATGTGGAATCCCTGAGTCAAGGGCCCCTCTTCCAAGATGTGTCTGACACACAGTAAAGCTGCTGGCCCTCTTCTTCGAGCCCCCAGATGTCCACACTAACACCCACAATGCTTGTTGGCATCTGGGTTTCTCAGACTCCTCCAGGACGACAGTGTTCCAAGACCAAGCCAGTCTCCCATTTGACTTTGTGCCCCTACAGCCCGGCACAGTGGCCAGCACTGAGACCATCCCCATCCAAAAAACCCTAAACGGATCTAAAAATAAGCAGATTAGCCAGAGCTAGGTACTACAAGTGTAACCTGGGCTTTAAACTAGTTATATTTGTATGTGGTGCAGAAACGGGGACAGAACATTAACGGTGCCCAAGCACTGTGTGACGAGACCAGGGATTAAGGGACATGAGAAGCATCTGGAAGAGAGGGAGACGGACAGGAAGACGGAGAGGAGTGATGCGCGGCGGCTGGAGCAGGGTGCACGGCCTTGGCCTGGGTCGCAGGGCAGGGGAGACCCCAGAGGTGGAGTGGAAAGGAAGGTGGATATGGCTAGCCCGGCCAGGTGGAGACACATACGCATATGATCCCAGGAGTCAGAAGGTCACAGAGGCACGGCATGAGGACAGCAAGAACCTGCTCTAATAGGTACTTCCCTGCCCAAAGGGGGTCAGGTCCAAAAATGTAAACAGCAGCCCGCAGCCATGCAAAACGGGTCTAAGAAAGCCATCCAGGGGAGAGTCAGAAAGACAACCCTTAGGCTAAGGAACAAAATCTTTAATATTTGGGGTCTGCACGATCCTTCCTAGCACTGACTAGCTTCGGAAAGGCATTTCCCATCCCCAACCCCTTCCTCAGGCCTCCCCATCTTAGCTGCAGGGTGTCCCCTCTTCCAAGAAGACTTCCTTGATCTCCCCGGGGTGTTCCAGGAACACACTCTCAAAACACCCTGGACTTCTCCTTCACAACCCTGCTCATAAGGGTAATCAAATACATACTCATTTAAAATCTGCTTCCAAAGTGAGGAAGATAAGCTCTTTGAGGGAAGGGGCACTTCTCTATCATTATTATAATATCCCCAGCATCCAAAAGTCTACCCGGGACTTGGGTGAGGCCCAGTAAGTGTCTGTTGAATGAACAAATCAATTAATCCAACAGATAAGGATGAATCAATAAGTGAATAAAAGTTCCCTGTATCTAGAACGTAGGACCAAGGGAGCCAGGATGATTGTGAGTGTATCGGAGAGGGTGGGGAAGCGAAAGGAGGGCCAGTCCTACCAGAGATAACAGAGATCCCAGAGTAGGAGTCAGTAGCTTGAGGGCCCCTCTGCACCCGTGAACTCCTGAATTAAGATCCTCTTAAGTGCTTGAAAAAGAAGGGGGTGCCCAGGCAGCTCAGTTGATTAAGCCTCTGCCTTCGGCTCAGGTCACGGTCCCAGGGTCACTGGGATCCAGCCCTGTAGTTGGGCTCTCTGCACAACGAGAAGTCTGCTTCTCCCTCGCCTCTCCCCCTCCCTCCCCTGGCGTGTGTTCTCCCCCCGCCCCCCTCTCTCATGCTCTCTCAAATAAATAAATAAAATCTTTTAAAAAAAAGTCCTTGAAAAAAGAATCAAAAGAATGTTTCGTAACATGCAAAACCAGGGATTTTTACTTTTTTTTTTGTACACATTGATTTTTTTAACCAAGAATATACCACTCTCTAATTAATAAAATACATACTCATTTAAAATCTGCTTCCAATGTGAGGAAGATAAGCTCTTTGAGGGAAGGGATGCTTCTCTATCATTATTATAATATCAGCAGCATCCAATAAAATAAATAAAATCTTAAAAAAAAAGTCCTTGAAAAAGAATCAAAAGAATAATGTTTTGTAACATACAAAACCAGGGATTTTTACTTTTTTTTTTTTGTATACATTGAGTTTTTTTTAACCAAGAATAATTAAAAAAAAAAAATAAAGACAAAAATGCAGATTTTAGAAAGCCTCCTTTACCACTCCCCCACCTCCAGCCCCTTTGCAACAGAGTGGCTAATTCCGGACGAGAAGGGACCCAAAGCCTTGCTGATCTCAGGATCATATGGTCCAATTTCTGCATTTCACAGATGGGAGCTGTGCCTATAGACACTTTGCCTCCGAAACTTCAAAGTCCGGTAACAATGCAAAGCTACTTGTGTGTTTGTTTTGAGGAAGTTTAAGATGCGAATGACCAGAAATAGTCCCACTTCCCTTTTCCTAGAAACCCCAGTTACCTCTTTGGCAGGAACACGCCCCTCGAGGCTCAGGGGACGGGAACGAGCCAGCCACCCCGAGGGGGCAGCTGCCGGCTGCTTTCCGGGCCATTCCCTCTAAAGAGCAGCTGGCCCTCCAGGTGGCATCCCCGGGGTGCAGACCTGTCATCATTAGCTCCACTTATGGTCCCCTGGGTAGGCGGAGGTGACCGTTAAGTCAGGTTGGTGTCGACAAGGGAAGTAAGGGGGCCAACGCTGAGTCAACACGTGAATGGGATCATATTTCACATCCTGCCTCAGCACACAGATCTGTGATGCCCCCCCACATCGAACCTTCAGTGTTTCCATCCTCCAGGAGGCAGGAAGGTCAAGGACAGAGCTCTCTTAGCTACGTGGGCACTGCCCTCCCGAGACCACCTTGTTAGAGAACGTGCCACACTCCTTGTATAAACCTTCTCCAGCCTTCCCACAGACCACTGGAGAGCCCACCTGGTGGGGTCCTGGAGCCCCCAGGAAGGCCCAGGAAGCCCACAATCCCTGGGGACAAGGAGGTGGGGTCCTAACTCACCTCAGAAATGCACAAGGGACCTGCATTATCTATTAGAACAAATATCCCTGAGCAGCCCGAGCATTTCCCAAAGAACCTTCCGAGAAATGCCAGCCAGTGAGCTACTCTGGGGAAAAGGAAGCGATGCGTGCTGAAGTTAGGGAAACCCCTCATTTGTGACCCTCTTCCGGGAGCTTCTGTCTCATTAGTACATTCCATGTTCCGGATAATCACGCAGTAGCTAAACCTGGTTGACTTGACTCGAACCCGCTGTTCACTAGAGAAACCTTTTGAGATCCCGGAGCGGAAAACAGCCCTAGACCATTTGGTTGGGTTCAACAGAGATGCCCGGGGCGGCAGTGACTTTCCAGGGAGGACCCCTGACCCTGAAGGGTGGGCTTCCCGAGCCACCACGGACCCCCACCACCCAGCACCGCAGGGGAAAGCTCGAACCCACCGTAGACTCTGAGGCCGGTTTCCGAGGCAAACGACTAGCCGCTGGGAAAGGCAAGAGGGACACAGAAACTCGGGGACCCGTGTAACATGCTCCCCAGCGCGAGGACTCACCATTGGTGGCCGTGTTGACATAGTAGCGCCGGCCCTGGGGAGACAAGTAGCTCTGCCAGCCAGGTGGAAGGATGACAATGTGGCTTTCCTCTCCGGGCGGAGGGGGTACCATTCCAGGCTTCTGTGGAAGAGGAAAGGAAAGGTCACACGTGCCGGGCATTTCAGCGACTGGGTTTCAACCAGTTTGGGACCAGGAAGTCGGAGGCAGGTGAAGTCACTTTGGAAGAGCTGATGCTGGGGGGACGGGAAGATGGGGGGACAGGAGGTGGCCCACTGGCCTCCCTAGGGGGAGGAGGTCACAGACCACACACGTGGGATTTAAGGGCTTGCCCAAGCATGCCACTGCGGAAGGGACAGCTTCCCAAAAAGGACAGTTAGAGAGCTGGACCTTCTCCCCGGACAGCCCCCTGCACGGAACTCGCTGGGCGAGCTGTGTGTAGCGGCCCCAGTCTTCTGCCCATGCCCACGCCCACTGTGGAATCCAAAGCCTGGACCCCCAGGACCACCACGGACAGCAGCAGACGAGGCCCAGGGCCTGCTGGGCCTGGGCGAACCCACCAGAACTTAACACAAGTCTCAGCCAGTCTCTTTTTTTTTCTTTAAGATTTTATTTATTTATTTGAAAGAGAGAGAGAAAGAGAAAGCATGAGAGGAAGAGTTAGAGGAAGAAGCAGACTCCCCATTGAGCAGGACTTAATCCTGGGACTCCAGGATCATGACCTGAGCCGAAGGCAGTCGCTTAATCCACGGAGACACCCAGGCACCCTCAGCAAGTGTCTTTAGAGCGAGATCTAAAGCCTTCCATAACCACGCCAAGAACCAAAGAAGGGCTCGATGGGGCTTTTCTGGTCCACTGTCCAAATCTCTCTGGGGGATCTGGAGGGAACCAGGACCCATGGCCAAACCACAGCTCCCTTTCCACCATGGGCACTATGTGCACTTATGTGTGGTTTAATCTTTTTTTTTTTCCTTAAATATTTTTATTTAGTTATTTGAAAGAGAGAGAGAGAACATGATTAGAAGCCAGGAGCTGAGGGAGAGGGAGACGCAAACTCCTGGCTGAGCAGGGAGCCCAATGCGGGGCTCGATCCCAGGACCCTGAGATCATGACCTGAGCCGAAGGCAGATGCTTAACCAACTGAGCCACTTGGGTGCCCTGATTTCATCTTTTGACCACAGGAACATTACTCTTCTTCTTCTTCTTTTTTTTCTTAAAATATTTTATTTCTTTATTTGACAGACAGAGATCACAAGTAGGCAGAGAGGCAGGTGGCGGCGGGGGGGGTGGGAAGCAGGCTCCCCACTGAGCAAAGAGCCCGATGTGGGGCTCGATCCCAGGACCCTGAGATCATGACCTGAGCCGAAGGCAGAGGCTTTAACCCACTGAGCCACCCAGATGCCCCGAGAACAGTATTCTTAAAAATACAAATCAGAGAAAAGATATATATACATAAGAGAGAGAAAGCAGGTGAACCCAAGATCCAAGAGAGAGAGGTGACTACGGCGGTGGCATGATGGGCAAATTTTTCTCCTCTCCTTTTTACTTCTTTCTTGCATCTAAATGTCCCTCAAACAACAAAAATAAGCGGTGAGCTAAAGAACATTTAAAAATAAGGAAAGAGGGTCCAAATTAGTCCACACGGCGGCTGTGCCTTCTGAACATAGTTAAGTGGATTCAACCACGCAGGGAGAGGGGCTGTGAATTTCTCAGCAAAGCTGGGCTCTGTTCAGATGCATTAAAAACAAATCCGCTTCTCAGCGTGTCCATGTCCTCAGCCCCTCTCTGTCCTGCCCGCCAAGGCACTTGTGGTCACTGAGTACGGTTACTTAGGAAAACCAGCTAAAAGAATCAAAGCAAGCAGTACGGACAGCAGCTCTCAGCCTGCCCTGTCCTCCTATTGTCTGAAGGTTGCAAGAACAGCTACTTCTGCCTGTGGCACAGCCTCACCAGGGATCAGGTCCCTCCTAGATACTCCCGGGACCCTGGGGAACCACAGCCTCCCCGTGGCCAAGGTGGTTCACGGCTGTTAACCCGCAGTATCAGTATGGAAGGTGGACTGCTAGGCACTGGACGCCAACCGGGAGATCTTCTCACCAACAGAGCACGTGTGCTGAGCCCAAACCCACACCTGAGCGTGTCCACCTGGGCCTCCAGACACCTGCTCTGGCATCTCCCGGATTGCAAGGTGGTCCAAATATTGCACGCACACACAGTCTCACGATGAGTAGTGTGCGTGCACTTAGGAAGTATCCCACACACAGGAGAGGTGTATCTTGGCTGAGTGGGGCTGGGGATCACACAAGCATAGGGAGCTTAGGAGGTTTAAGTTAAGAGACGAATATTCTAGAACCAGAGGGTACAATGCCGGGCCGCTTCTGCTAGAGCCAATGTCTTCAAGCATCCAAGATGGGAAGGCTACATTGGTGCTTCTCCCAGCAGCTGGGGAGGAAACGGGAAATTGTTAAAGGGTATTAAGCAAGGGCCGGATACGGACGCGGCCGGAAATAGGGTACAGAGGGGAGAGGGACCCAGGAGCACCGTGGAAACAGCCCTCCGGCTTGGGCCTCAATACTGACTCAGCCCCTGAGTGGACACATGATAGGAAAGTGACTCAGCCGACTGCCTTTATCCATGTGTCTACACAACAGAGGAGGAGGACAGAAGCCCTGTTGGGGAAGGCTCCTAGGAGGGTGCCACCAAGAATGCTCCGTGACAGCGGGAGGGGGTGTGTTTAAGAGCCCGGCGAGACGAGGCTTCATACAGCCTCTGCCCCCTGAGAGGGGAAGGTCAGGGGCCCTGCACCCCAGCCTGCTCCACCACGCTTGAAATGTCACTAGTAACTGCCACTTCTCCCCAGGCCTCTGTTTCCAAAACTCTGCAACTCAGCTGGCAAGCACACACCTGCTGGGGAGGGAACGCGTTTCGAGGTTGACCAGTTGGATCTGCAGAGAAGCCTGGGTAGGTGGCAAGGAGACCACCATCCAAGCGGGGCTGGTTGAGGGACCGGACTGAACTTCCGACTCTCCACGCCCCACCCGGGACAGAGCAAACAGGGACACCTGCCCCATCTCCATGGTGCTTTCCTCTTGAAAATGACTCTAGGGGGTTTATGTAACTCTGGGGGCTCAGAACAAGCTCTGGTTTGCATGGGAGGACACTGATGACCAAGGAGGCACTGTGACCACCCACCCTGAGGTCTTGCCCATCTAGGAAATGCTGGACCCTCCAAGCCCAACCCTCCTGAAGGTGGCTGCGGTGGAAGGATCTCTGCTACTGAGCCAGGAAGGGCCAAGTAGCACTGGAAGAGAAGGAACAGAGGGGACGAGGGCACCAGGGCCAACTCAGCCTACTTCCTAATTTGGATAATGCACCCAAGGCCGTCCCCTCATCCCCCTCCAGCATGACCTCGGCTCCTTGCTCTGCCTGTCACCTGCCTGTGCTCTGTCCCCTGCCTGTGCTCTGGCCCCATCCCCCGAAGCTGCCACAGTTCCCTTGCCTTTGCTCTCACCCAGAAATAAGTTCCCCTAGTTGGTGGCCCGAGACACATCAGGGGTGGAAAGATGCAGAGACCCCTGGGAACGTACCCAAAAGAACTGAAAACGGCACCGAAACACTTGTGAATCCACGTTCACAGCAGCATTATCCATAATGGCCAAAAGGCAGACACAACCCAAGGATCCATCAACTGATGAGGGGTCAACAAAACACTGTGTGTCCAGAGAAATACCCAGTTGTCGAAAGGAATGAGGCTCTGCTCCATGCTACCACATGAATGAGCCTTGAAGCCATGCATACGATTCCATTTATACGAAATGCCTGGAAGAGGGAAATCCACAGAAACAGAAAGCAGATGAGTGGGGTTGCCAGGGGTTGGGGGGGAGGGAAGGACGGGTCCAGGGGTTACTCTTTGGGGTCGATATAAATGTTGTGCCATAGTATGAATGTATAAATATCACTCGGGATATATTTTATGTCATGTGTATTTCACAACTTTTTAAAAAACATCATTTTTGAGCTGCAAGGGAGCAGAAATTAAGACTCTCCACATGCAACAGGCTCTCTTACTGAAAAGGCACAGAGCACCCACATGACCTCATCACTCGTGGTCATGGGGGGACTGGCCTCCTGGGAGAGCTGCCCCCCCAGCCATCAAGACAATGCAGCGTGAATAACGACCCAATAATTAAGGTCTCTGTCAAACTTACTCTCCTAATTTGCTTCCTTCAAGTTAAATCCTTCCCTTCCCCTCCCTTCCCTAGTCCAGTGGCTTCTCCCCTTCCATTCCAAAAGCTCCTTCCCATGGGAAGAGGAACAAGAAACAGAGGTGACACAGGCCCAAAGATTGGGGCCCTACTGACAATGAGCAAGATCCAAGGAAGAGGGAGTGAGGGTCGGAGGGTGAAGGTAGTTTCCTCCAACTTAGAAATTCTTAACCTCACGCACATCACAGCTTTGCAGGAATCATAAAACATTGTCTCTTCCTCCAGATGGGCCATCGCCCTGACTGCCAGCTGGATTTCAGCCTCCCCTGGGTCCCCTTGTTCAGTCAACAACCTACTCAACTGTTTATGGAGACCCATCCTCTGAGGATCCGAAGGTAACTGTGGATCTCCTGCCCTGCAAAATGGAGTCATGCATTCATGTACACCCTTACCCTATTTCCTATAGAGTATCAGGAGGCTTCTAGATGACTCAGAGGCCTAATCTAGCCGGTAATCAAGAAACACACGAGCTCAGATCCCATATGCATCCATCGATAATGACTTTTATCAAGCACCAAATGTTGATGGGCTCCAAGGACTGGGTCAGATGCTTTACACACTTATCTCTAGTTCTGACAACTGAAACCTGCCATGTTCCCATTTTGAAACGAGGAATCTGGAGCTCAGAGAATGTAATAGCTGTCCAACACTGCACAGCTAAACAAATGATCAGCCCAAACTTTGAAATCCTCCCCTTGTCCTAGAGACTTCTGTCCAGTTACCTACATCCAGGCTACCCTCTGTCCATCTCTCCCCAGCTAGCCAAGGGAGGCTTTGTTTCGCCTGGACCTCCTGACCCCAGCTCCCACCAAGGTGGGTGACAACTCAGGCCTGCTTCTCTTGCCCGTCTCACAGTCT